GTGCAGACACAGTATTGGTGGAAAATTTGGTTATGGCTCTGGCCCGCAGTCTATATGGCTAACCTCCACTGAAAGTCACTGAAGGGCACCAAACGAACACTCCTCCACGTGTGCAAATACACAACCCACAGAAGTAGAATACAGGTAGTCCTTGATTTACAGCAGTGCGTTTAGTGACCGTTCCAACGGCACAGAAAGAAAGGGACTTGGGACCGTTTTTTCCCACCGTTACCGCCGTGGCAGCCTCCCCGTGGCCACGGGGTCAAAATTCAGGCGCTTGGTTCATATTTATGACGGTTTTTCCCGGAGGCGTGTGGTCCGTTTTGGTGACCTTCTGGGGAGCAAAGTCAAATGAGGAATCCAGATTCCACTCAACAAGCGTGTTACTAACTTAGCTCAAAGTCCAGATGCTTGATAACTGACTCACATTTATGACGGTTGCTGCAGTGTCCCGACCCTCTGGCGAGCGAAGTCCAAGGGACAGCCAACTTCACTTAACAACAATTTAACCACGGCAGTGATTCGCTTAACAGATGTGGCAAGGAAAATCGTAAAATGGGACAAAACTCAACTTAACAAATTTCTCACTTAGCGACATGAATTTTGGGACCACCTGGATTTGTAGCTCAGGGCTGAACTGTGGAGTCCTTGGTGTTCTCTGAACTTGGTGGTTTTCTTGCAGACATTTCATAACCCAGCTAGGTAACATCATCAGTGCTAAAAGTGAATGGGGTTTGGACTTATTTTTATATACGTGGCACGTTGATGGGAGCGTTATTGATATTCCTTGATTAGGCTGTTGCTTACTTATTCACTCAGACAGACAACCTAACAGCAAACAACAGCTGAATCAAGAAACACCAAGAACACACCGACCAACACTGACAGAGCAAGCCACTCCTTCTAGCACTGATGCTGTTGCCTAGTTGGGTCATGAGGTGTCTGCAAGCAAACAACCAAGCTCAGAGCGCACCAAGGACCCCACGAAGTATTAAATCAACCCTGAGGAGACATGGGATGGAAGGCAAAGATCAAAACGCTTGGAGATGCAAGATTCCTCCTTGGCCAGAAAAATATCTGTCCTCTCCTTTTGCTTCTCCCAGCCCACCATCCTTAAAATGTATGTATTTATTTGTTCAATTTATAAAGCTGCCCATCTCACAGACATATTTGGGCAGCACCTTTCAGGATTCCTAGCCAGCCATCCCAGCTGAACGGAAAAGCACCAGGTTGATTGAATTATTTTCTTATTGAATATTTTTTGCTGCTGGACTCCAAATGATGGTGGACATCCAATGACCAGATGGGGATGTCTATTCCTTCAATAACTTTTGGCAGAAGAAGTCAAGACATGCAGCCACCTCTTGCTAAGAGCTATCCAAAAGTTGGCTTTGGTTGTGGTGGGTTAACTGTGCTTGGATTAAAAAAAAAGTGCTTCAGGCTTCATGGGATGGGATCGTAAACGTAACATCACTTCCAACCCTTTATATCAGCCGCTTCTTTTCCTAGGTTAGTTGCTGCCCTAAGCAAGGAAAAGATGCAGCTGCTTTCAAAGTGCAGGAGACAAAATAACAGAATAACAAGAATTTGGAAAGGACTTGGGAGGTCTTCTAGTCCAACCCATTCAAACCCAAAACCATTTCAGACAAAGGGTTATCCAATCGCTTTTTTAAAATCTCCAGTGTTGAAGCACTCACAAGTTTTGGAGGCAAGTTCTTTCACTGCTTAATTATTCTGTCAGGAAATTTAATTCTAGGTTGCTTCTCTCCTTGTTTAGTGTCCATACATTGCTTCCTGTCCTGCCTTCAAGTGTTTTGGAAAATAGGTTGGCCCCCCTCTTCTTTGTGGCAGCCCCTCAAATATTGGAAGGCTAACTATCATTGTAGTCCTTCATTTAATTAAGCTAGACATATTCAAATCCTGCAATCATTCATGTTTTTGCCTAATGACAGATGCTATATTTGCATTCCAGCCCATCTTAAAACCCTTCTTGAAGACTGAATCCAAGCACTGCATAGCCCTGCCACCTAAAACACTTGTGCAGCGCGCACCAAAAGGATTGTAAAGCCCCTACTAGGGTGAGGGATGCTACCATACCCTGCACATGGAGGTTCACATCATACAAAGGCTAAGTGCCTATAAGAACTAAGAGCTGTGGTGGCGCAGTGGTTAGAATACAGCATTGCAGGCTAATTCTGCCCACTGCCAGGAGTTCGATCCTGACCGGCTCAAGGTTGATTCAGCCTCCCCATCTTTCCCAGGTGGGTAAAATGAGGACCCAGATTGTTGGGGGCAACAGGCTGACTTGGTAAACCGCTTCAAGAGGGCTGTACAGCGCTGTGAAGCGGTAGATAAGTCTAAGTGCTATTGCTATAGGGACAGGAATGGTTTTGCAAAGATTGGTGAAGTGGGGGGGGGGCAAACATTCTGTTTTTCTCCCCAGGTTTTTTTTTTTTTAAATTTCCTCATATATATTTATGTTTATATGATCCAAAGGTCCCAGCATTGGCTGGTGTACATTTATTCATTTAGATCCTGCCCAACACGGATGGTCTGAAAAAAGGGGGGAAAAGGAGGGTGATTTGAAAACTAGATAAAATCAAAATGAGGTATTATAGAAAGATGGTTGATTTGCCAGAACAAGCTGTCCCGAAAGGAAGTGGTTTGTCGTGTCCCAATTGGAATGCTTGGGTAAATCCTCAGTTAACAACCGCCCATTCAGGGACCATTTGAAATCACAACAGCACTGAACGAGGGTCTCCATGGTTTCATAAACGTGAATCAAAGCACTTGGCAACCGGCGCGTAATTATGACATCACAGCACCTTGCAAAGTCAGTGGGGAAGCTGGCGGGAAATTGGAAATGGTGATCAGGTAACCGTGGCACACTGTGACTACCTGGGATTCACTTAACAACGGCAACTGAAATGGTTGTTGTAAGACAGTGCACTGGCATGGCATCATCCTTTTATAATTGTGTTTGTTTAGTAACAGAGTTGCCGGTCCCAATTACAGGTAGTCCTCGACTTACAACAGTTCATTGAGTGACCATTCAAAGTTACAACGGCATGACCGTTTTTCACACTTACGACCATTGCAGCATCCCCCTGGTCATGTGTCATGCCCTTGTTGGAGTCTGATTCTGAGGGGGAGATTGAGCAGCTGACAGGGAGTGGGTGGCTGTGGAAGAAACGGGGGAAGGGCATAGTCCAGCTGGGCATTTAGAGGAAGACCCAGGGCCACCCCCTCTTCGTCCTAGGGCATGCAGGGAGGAACGGAGAAGGGAGCAACGTGGCTTACGGGAGAGAAAAGGGCCCTGATCCCTTTCATTAGTTGCAACTGGGAGAACAGGATATAAGAAGGGCGTTTGCACACAGCACCTTGCTGGAAGCAAAGCGTGCATTATCTTTGTTGAGGCTTATCTGAGTTTTGGTGTCCTCCCAACTGTGGTTACTGTGTTATCCTTTGAAAGTCTGCAATTTATCATCCTGGCCTGCTATGTTAATTACTTCAGCGTGGTTTGTGTTGGTTTTTTTTATTTCTAATTTATTTGTACTTTGGGTTCGGACTGCATTTCTTCCCTTTGTAGACTGTTTTTGGAAGAGTTTGAGCTCCAGACGAGGATAACTGGACATTGAGGGCCAAGTTGGAGATATTAAAGGGAATTTATCTACTTTTGTGACTTTGTTATTCTTGTGCCATGCCCTGGGTCATCACATCACGTGATTGAAATCTGGATGCTTAAACAACTGGTTCATATTTATGACAGTTGAGGCCTCCTGAGGTCCCATGATCAGCTTCTGGCAGTCTTTCACACTTAATGACCATTGCAGCATCATGTGATCAAAATTCAGATGGTTGGCAACTGACTCATACTTATGACCGTTGTTGTATCCCAAGGTCATGTGATTCCCCTTTTGGGACCTTCTGACAAGCCAATGGGGAAGCCGGATTCACTTAATAACCGTGTTAGTAACTTATCAACTGCAGTGACTCGCTTAACAAAGGCGGCAAGTACGGTCGTAAAATGGGGCAAAGCTCATTTAACAAATGTGCTCACTTGACAAGAGAAATTTTGGGCTCAATTGTGGTCGTAAGTCGAGGACTATCTGTAGTTAACTGAGGATTACCTGCATTTTATAGTCTAGCTGTGGTTTTGCGTGGAGAAAAATTATTCAATTTTATCCAGCTCAAAAATATAAGACTCCTGCCACTTTGTGACTTGCAGGTAAATGTCTTGGGGAGCTCAACTTAATGTTTCAGGAAAAAAATAGCAGAGAGCCAGCCTTTTTGAGAAATGCCAGCCAGCCTTTTTTCTAGAAATTCCTATGTCAACATTTGGAAATCGGACAATGAGTGCGTTCAACAATGTTCTGTGTGAAAGGCAGATCCAATTGAAGATGGGGTATTTAAATGCTCTCTTTGCTAATTTGGCATATTTAGAATAAATTATGAGGACTGAAAATTTTATTCTCATTTGAAAGTCACACGTTCTCAAACTTTGCAAAGCAGTTCGTTTGTTGTTGCTTTTAAAGGGAGAAGACTACACAATTACAACGGCATTCCTGAAATAATGTACAAAGACGCACTTGCCATAATTGCAACAACAGAGGATGCTAGGAAAAATACAAAAAGTTTATGCTCGAAGAAATGTGCACGCAAGTGCATACCAATTTTAGTGCAAACTCGAAGGGGAAGGGAAAAAATCTCAGCGTTAAAGAACCAGACAGGTTTACACAAAAATGAAAAATATAGCGAAATGGCCAAATGTGTAAATTCACCCATCCCTGGCTTTGAATTAAAAGCTGGGCATTAATTGAGGGGGAGGATCAAGGACATTGCATTAATGTAATATACATCTCAGCAACTTATAACAAACTCCACAATCCCACACCACTGCGTTTCCAAGCACTATAGCAGTGGGGGTGTCCAAATTCAGCAATTTTAAGACCTGTGGACTTCAACTCCTAGAATTCCTCACTCAGCTATGCTGGCTGAGGAATTCTGGGAGTTGAAGTCCAGCCATGCTGGCTGAGGGATTCTGGGAGTTGAAGTCCAGAGATCTTAAAATAACTAAGGTTGGACACCTCTGCACTATGGGAAAATAAAATGACAGATTAATTAATTAATTAATTCATTAGACTGATTTAGTATATCTTTCTCCATGGGATATTTTTAAGGGCATTTTTTTCCTCACAAATACCTGCTTTTCAAAGCAGAACTAAAAAACAAAAAAACAAATAAAGAGTTTCACGGAAGGGCCCTAATTTTTCCACAATTAAACCTCCCTCTTTAAGAAAACTTCTCCAAATATCTCCTTGCCCAAAATTTCCTTTCTCCAATATTAGTTTTCCCTAAACTTTTCATTTTTTCCCCCAAAGTTTTTTGTTATCCAAATTACAGGCAGGGGCCATCAGCCTCTTGGTTTTATCTCTGGTTGGACCATAAATACAAACAAACAAAAATTCAAAATCAGGATATTTCATCATCATCATCATCACCCCCCCAACCCCCCCCCCCCCCCCAAACAGTTCATTGTCAAACAATCTCAGATACTTTTTTTTTTAAATGCCTTTCCTATCAAAATTATAAAAAGTTAAGCTGGGTTTGCAGCCACAACCACAATATTTGTTTCCGTCCGCGGGACTTCCAAACACGCTCCGTTTTGCTAAGCACATGACTGCTACTAGAAAAGCAATCCACAAAAACAGACCAAACCAAACTGCTTAACTTGGTTTCCCTATTGCACTTCGCTCGTTCCTGCAGTGTCTCTTTTGAAGGAACCGCCACACGCCCCTGCCTTTCGCTGTGGTACCCATCCGATCCATGGACGTGGTTCAAGCCCACGCAGGCGGGCATTATGTACAATCCAGGTGGGGGTTCCGGGTGGAAGAATCACGCCAGAAGGTCGAGTCCGTCTCCGAAAATAAAACCCAATGTTTGTTTCCGTGCCTTAAAGTGGTTTGTCACTTTTTTTTTAGAAAAAAAGAAAAAGGAAGGAAGGAGAGGAATGGGAGGAGGGGCTCAGCCAATGAAGGAGCATCCTGGTCACCTACCACCCTGTAAACTAATCTTTAAAGAGGGTTTTATTTTTTATTTTTTTTATTTTTTTTCCTGATCCCTCGGCTTATTTTTCTGGCATTTTACTAGCCCCGAATTTTGGGGCGTGGAAGGGTTTGTTACCTCTCTCTTTTTCATCCAGGATGCAGTTTGCCACCGGCCACGGCGACGTGGCTTTCTTATGGTTAATATTTCCCAGGAGGCTCTCTGTGTCTTTAGGGAAAAATTCGGAGGGCCTCTCCTTCGGCTTCCGGCCTCGTTTCTTGCCGTCGGGGCTAGTCTTTTGTTCTTCGTTGCTGGGCGTCCTCGGTTCTTTACTTTTCTTTTTCTTCGAAGAATCGGTCGAGGTGTGGAACCAGTTCTGCGTTTCAGGGGAGCGAAAGGAAGGGAAGCAAAGATAGGTTGGGTGGGTAATGTGTCATCTGCATTCGCACAAAGCTGGCTTAAATTGTGTTTGCACCATTCAGGTAATCGTCGACTTACAATAGGTTAACTGACTATTTGAAGTTCCAACGGCACTGAAAAATAAGTGACTTAGGACTGTTTTTCACGCTTATGACCATTGCACCAACTCCATGGTCACACAATTCACACATTCAGATCAGAGGTTGTGAATTCAGCAGGTTCTGACCAGTTCTGGAGAACCAGTAGCAGAAATTTTGAGTAGTTCAGAGAACCGGAAAATCCCACCTCTGACTGGCCCCGCCCCCATCTATTCTCTGCCTCCCGAGTCCCAGCTGATTGGCTGGGTCTTCTTTGGTTGCCCTGCACAGGAGAACGGAGCTGGAAAACAGGTTAGCAGGGTGGGGAGGGAATGGGGATTTTGCAGTATCCTTCCCCTGCCACGCCCACCAAGCCATGCCCACAGAACCAATAGTAAAAATTTTTTGAATCCCACCATTGATTTAGATGCTTGACAACTGACTCACATTTATGATGGTTGCAGTGTCTTGGGGTCATGTGACCCACAACTACCCTATGAGGTGGGTTGAGCTAAGAGGGAGGGACTTGCCCAAAGTCACGCAGCTGGCTTTCATGCCTAATGCAGAACTAGAACTCACCATCTCCTAGTGATTGGTCTAAATTCACCCAGCCGCCTTTCCTGACTAATATGGGGCTAGAACACACTGTCTCCTGGTGATTGGTCCAAAATCACCCAGCTGCCATTCATGCCTAATGCAGTACTAGAACTCACCGTCTCCTGGTGAATGGTCCAAAGTCACCCAGCTGCCTTTCCTGACTCAGGCAGGACTGGAACTCACAGTCTCCTGCTTTCTAGGCTGGTGCTTTAACCTCTAGAAGTAACTTTGCAGCAACAAGTACCGTATTTTTCGGTGTATAAGATGCACTCCCCACTCCGCCAAAAAAGTGGGTGGAAATGTCTGTGTGTCTTATACAGCGAACCGGCCCATTTCTGGCCTCCCAAAGCCTCTGTATGTCCTGTTTTCGCCCTCCCCAGCATCTAGAAGCACTCTGCAGGCCAAAAACATGCCCGTTTTTGGCCTCTGGAGGCCTGCAGGAGTGCTGCAGGGTGCTTTTAGATGCTGGGGAGGGCAAAGACAGGATGCATGAAGGCAAAAATCTATTTTTTTCTTGTTTTCCTCCTCTAAACCAAGGTGCATCTTATAGTCCGGTGTGTCTTATACTCTGAAAAGTACAGTAACTCCCAAAAAGAAACCACTTACCTCTGAGTGTGTCTTGATGATGTGGTATTTGACCCCACTTTCTGAGCTAAACTCCTTCTGACACAGAAGACAACGATATTTGCCCACCGAATGACCTCCCTGTAAACCAAAGACCAGCCCTGTTAGTTTTGGAAGAACCTGCCCAGAACTAAAGAGATATTTTCTGACATTGAGAACAATTAATCAATGGAACAACTTGCCTCCAGAAGTTATGAATGCTCCAACACTGGAAGTTTTTAAGAAGAGAATGGACAACCATTTGTCTGAAATGGTATAAAGTCGTGATGGCGAACCTATGGCATGCATGCCACCGGTGGCACGCAGAACCATTTGTGCTGGCACGTGAGCTGCAGGCAAACTTACCTCACGGTGTGCCTCACAGCTGATTTTTGGCCGGTTTGAGGCCTTTTTCAGCCTCCCAAAGGCTTGAGGACAGCTTCTGCAGCCTTTGCAGTCCGAAAAATTGGCCCATTTCATCACTTCCGGTATTACAGGAAGTCACGAAATGGGCCTATTTTTCGGCCTGCAAAGCCTGCAGAAGCCTTCCTCAAGCCTCTGGGAAGCTGAAAAAGGCCTCAAACGGGCCGAAAATCAGCTGTGAGGTGCAGGTAAGGGGGTGGTGGGGTGGGGATTGCACACGCATGTGTAGGGGGCATGGGGGGGACACGCATTGCCTTCTGGGTGCTGGCATGCAAGCGCAAGCATGCAAGCGCATGCACAATTTTTGCAAAGGAGCCCAAATGGTTTAGCCACTACTGGTATACAGGCTTTCCTACCTAAGCAGGGGGTTGGTCTAGAAGACCTCCAAGGTCCCTTCCCTTATTTTATTATTCTGTTTTTCCCTTTATGATCACTGGGTCGGATTACCAGTTCAGGCTGCAGATAAGGGAGCCATGCAATTTCTTATTCCTCTACGCATTCATAAAAGAAAGCCAGAAGTCAGAGATGAAATACTCCACTCACAACCGGTTGCTCAGTGAGTTGCTAACTTTGGTTATTACACCCCTCCACCCCCCCAATGTACAGGTAGTCCTCGACTTACAATAGCTCGCTTAGTGACCGTTCAGTTACAATGACACTGAAAAAAGTGGCTTATGACTGTTTTTCAACTTTACAATGATTGCAGCCTCCCCATGATTACGTAATCCAAATTTGGGCGCTTGTGAACTGACTCATAGTTATGACGGTTGGAATGTCGCCGGGGTGGGGGCACGTGATCCCCTTTTGCAACCTTCTGACAAGCAACCGTGTTACTGATTTAACAACTGCAGTGATTCGGTGTAGCCAGAAAGGTCATAAAATGGAGCAAAATTCACTTAACAAATGTTTCACTTAGCAACAAAAATTTGGAGCTTAGTCGGGGTTGCAAGTCGAGGACCACCTATACTTACAACCTGGATTTGAATTTCTTTCTTTTTTAATAAGTTTTATTTATACATTTTTCTTTAACATACGAGTGCTTAATAAACAGCGTAATGTCTGGGTCAATATACAGTACCTTCACATAATGTCAATAATAATAACAACAATATTTACTTGTATACTGTGTTTCCCTAAAAAGAAGACCGGGTCTTATATTATTTTTTTTGCTCCAAAAGATGCATTAGGGCTTATTTTCTGGTTAGGTCTTATTTTCAGGGAAATGCCGTTCTAAATGCATCCATCTGGCTGACAATCCTAACTGGGGCTTATTTTCAGGGTAGGTCTTACATTACAAACATCCTGAAAAATCATGCTAGGGCTTATTTTCCAGTTGGGTCTTATTTTCAGGGGAACAGGATAGTAGTATTCTTCCAACTTCTAATGTCTACCTCTGCTGCCGAACCATTTGTAAAACAAATCCCATGTTAAATAACATTCTGTATCCTCTTTATCCTTTATCTTTAATGTTAACCTATCTATTTCCACAGAGTCTAATATTTTTTTTAAAATTATGCTTTCCTCTGTAGGAGTTCCCACATTTTTCCAATATTATGCAAATACAATTCTTGCTGCTGTCAACACATGTGTCATGCCCCTGGTGGAGACTGACTCTGAGGGAGAGGAGGAACAGCCGACAGGGAGTGGAGGTGTGGCTCTGGAGGTTGGGGAGGAGGCTGGGGAAGGGCAGAGGCCGGCTGAGCAGTCAGAGGAGGACCCAGGCCCATCCCCTCTCCATCCTACGGCACGCAGGGAGGAGAGGATAAGGGAGAGACACGGTCTACGGGGGAGGAAAGGGCCCTGATCCTCTTCATGGGCTGCAGCTGTGACAACTGGATAAGAGGACGGGACATGCGTACGGACTAGTGCTGGAAACAAAACGTGGAAATATCTCTAGTTTATTGTTCCTCTCTGAGTTTGGCGTCCTTCCCAGTGTGTGTTATCTGTGGACGTCCTCCAGCCCTTATCTTGCCTGGTTTGTGTTGCTTTTTTCCTTCTTCTTGTAACTGTTTGTATGGGAGTTTTTTGTCTTCCGTCAAGAATATTTGGAGTTTGGAAGTGAAGGAATAAAAGGGGCTTCATCTGTTTTCTGTGACTATGTTTGTTCTGTATCCCACCCTGGGTCATCACAACATGTAATATTAAATATACAGCCCCTTTGTCATATTTTTCCGGTACTGTACCTAACAAAAATATTTCCAGCTTTATGTCTATATGTTGCTTTATCATTTTCTCTAACCAAGCATGTATTTTCATCCAAATTTTTTTTTGCCTTTGGGCATATGGTGGTACGCGCCCGGCAGTGGTGTGTTTCCAAATTGTTTCCTACTGGTTCTAATGCGCGGTTCTATGCATGCGTGCTTCAAGCTGTTTATTTTTTTAGCTCAGCTGAGGCACAGCAATCCGCTCTTCCACGCGAATCTGCTGAGCTAAAAAACAAGGGAATATAGGAGAGGTAATGGCGGGGGGCGGATGGACAGAGCCAATCAGAGGTGATATTTGCCGATTCTTTGAACTAGTCAAAATTTCCGCTACGGTCCGAACCGGATGAATACCACCTCTGGCACCTGGTATCAGATTGCATTTCCAACATTTGGCTGACATCATGGATTTGAATTTCTGATAGGTGCCCCTCCACATGCTCACCTGATTACATTTTGGGTGCTTGGAAACCAGTCTTGCATTTATGGCTACGTTCAGCGTGCCGCAATTCCATGACTGGGATTTATAATGGATTTTTGCCGGAAACCGACATTTTGGGAGGCTCTGGAGGCCATGTGACGGTACAGTCCTCCCAGGTGACTCCCGACAGTCCAAAGGCCACATGAGGGATACCCCGTTCTTAGTTCAGCCTGTGCAAATCGTGTGAGAAGGGGGCATCTTTTTTGAGGAAGAGCTGTGGCATTGGTGAACACTGGCGCCACCTCAAATGTTGCGGCCTGTAACCTTCTGTCCATCACTGGCCTACAGTGTCCAGAGGATTGGCCAGGCCGACCTTTGCATGCCAACAAAGAAATCAACAATTCGATAGAGAGAGAGAGAGAGAGATTGACGGTGATGCTCCATTACCTTGTTACAGTTGGCCAGATGAGCTTTTAGGCCGGACACGCTGCAGTAAATGGCTGCACAGCACTGGAAGGGAAAAAGAGAGAGGCTGAGTGAGGAACTGGTGAACTTGCCCCTCCCCCCCACAAACATAAAAAAAGCACCCCTCCTACAAGCTGCAGCCAACCTTCCCCAAAGGTACTGATAAAGGAAAATATTTGTAGCTTGGGGTTGAAATGAGGGGTCCTTGGTGCTCTGAGCTTGGTGGTTTTCCTGCAGATGTTTAATTACCCAAGTAGGTAAACAGGAAACAGGAAACAGCAGCTTCAAAAATTTTAGTAGAGGGCTCTCTGCCCAGTTGCTGGGTGGGCATGGCCATGTCGGGTGTGGCCTAGTTGGCTGCCTGCACCACGGTGGGGAGGGGCGTTTTTCGCCCTCCCCGGGCTCCAGAGGCTTTTTTCGAGCCTCCAGGAGGGCAAAAACAGCCTCCCCAGGCTCCGGAGGCTTCCTGAACTTCCGGGATGCCTATTTTTCTCCCTCCCCGAGCCTCCAGGCAGGCCCTGTACTTACTTGGCATCCACAAAGGGCCACATGGGAATGCCAGGAAGGGGCGGTGTGGGGTGGGCGTGGCCAGACAGGGGTGGGGTTTGCGGGGTTCGCCAAATGGTGCGGAATCTTAGCTAGAGGATCGCCCAAAAACGTGCGAACCTGCAGCAACCCCTGGTTGATAGCATTGGTGCTAGAAGGGAGTGAGGTTTGCAAGGAGGAGGAGGAGGAGGAGGAGGAGGAGGAGGAGGAGGAGGAGGGTCATTACCAAACTATGTATCATCATTAGTGCTAGAAGAGAGTGGGGTTACAGAGTGGAGGATTATGGATCCTCTCTTGAGCTTGATGGTTTTCCTGCAGATGTTTTATTACCCAAGTAGGTTAATATGTCAGTGCTAGGAGGAGTGAGATTTGCAGAAAGGAGGAGGAGCAGGAGGAGTCTGTGGGGTTTCATTACCAAACTACGTAACATCCACCATCAGTGCTAGAAGAGAGGTGGAGTTGTGAGGGGTTGGAAGGGAGGACTGCGAGGTCCTTGCTGCTCTCTGAGCTTGGCGGTTTTCCTGCAGATGTTCCATGACCCAAACTAGGTACAAGTCAACTTATACCATTTGTTTAGTGACTGTTTGAAGTTACAACAGCACTGAAAAAAGTGACTTATGACTGTTTTTCACACTGACGACCGTTTCAGCATGCTGCAAAATTCAGACCCTTGGCAACTGACTCATATTTATGACCATTGCAGTGACCCAGGGACAAGGGATCCCTGTCATGCCTTTGTTAGAATCTGACTCCGAAGGATAGGAGGAACAGCTGATAGGGAGTGGGAGGATGGCTCCGGAGGTTGTGGAAGAAACTGGGGAAGGGCAGAGGCCAGCTGGGCATTCAGAGGAAGATCCAGGGCCATCCCTTCTTCATCCTAGGGCACGCAGGGAGGAGCGGATAAGGGAGAAACGTGAATGGCGTGGTCTACGGGGGAGGAAAGGGCCCTGATCCCCTTCCTGGGCTACAGCTGGGAGGACTGTTTAAAAGGACAAACTGCGTATGGCCCAGAGCTGGAAGCAAAGTGTGACAATATTTCTGGTCTGTCAGTTCTTATCTGAGTTCTGGCGTCCTTCCCAGTGTGTGTACACTGTGTGTATTTCGATATCTGTGGACATCTTCAGGCCCTTATCCTGCCTTGTCTTATTAATTGCTTCAGTGTGGTTTGTGTTGTTTTTTTCTCTTTATAATTTATATATATTTTGAGTTTGAAGGGAAGTTCTTCCTTTTCGCAACTGTTTGTGGGGGAGTTTTTTTCTCCAGTCAATGATAATTGGACCTTGGAGGCCAAGTTGAAGAAATTAAAGGGACGTCACCTATTTTTGTGATTTTGTTGCTTTTGTATCCCACCCTGGCTCATCACAATCCCTTTTTGTAGCCTCCTGACAAGTAAAGTCAATGGGGAAGTCAGAGTCACTTAACAATTGTGTGACTAACTGAACAACTGCAGTGATTCACTTAACGGTGGCAAGAAAAGTCATAAAATGGGGCAAAACTCACTTAACAACTATCTCATTTAGCAACATTTGAGGCTCGACTGTAGTCGAGGACTCCCTATGTAGCCAGGCGTATGTTTGGGGCTCAAAATCTTCTTCAAATCCAAAGGAAAATAGAAACGAGGTCTTCTGGCCGTAAAGCACAAACCCACTCACGTCATTTGGGCAATTGATGTGTCCTTTTTCTTTGACTTCATTCTTCCAGGCCTCCAGAAGCCGCGGGTTCAACTTGGGAAGTCCAGGCCGAGTGTAGTTTAGCTGCCAACATTCAGCAGTCACAACAGTCAGAATGCTATTCACATGTGCGCCGTAAACACACGGCTAAATGACTCCTGGATTTCTTACCCCCACCCCAGCCAGCCTCTCCCAGAGGTTCAACGGGGAGAGAGCATTTAAGATTAAGATAACCTATACCAGCGGTGGCCGAAAATTGCATGCGCGCCAGCACCCAGAAAGCTATGCACACAGCCCCCCACACACACCCCCTTTGCATGCGTGCGCGATCCCCCCTGCCTCCCCCTTACCAGCACTGCGCATGCGCGCACACCTCCCAGCTGATTTTCAGGCCTTTTTCGGCCTCCCAGAGGCTGGAGGGAAGCCTCTGTAGCTTTTGGAGGGCGAAAAATGAGCCCGTTTCATCACTTCCGGTATTTCCGGAAATACAGGAAGTGACAGAACAGGCCTGTTTTCTGGCCTCCAAAGGCTGAAGAGGCTTCCTTCCAGCCTCTGGGAGTTCGAAAAAGTCCCGAAAATCAGCTGGGAGACGCACGCATGCGCAGTGAGGTAAGTCTGCCTGGGGCTCGCGGGTCCACACAAATGGCTCTACGTGGATGGACAAATACCTAGTGCACACACACACACACACACACACACACACACGGTCATGCATCTAGCATGTTGCTCTGAGTTCAACAAAAGCACAGTGTTCAAGATACAGGATCAGGACCAGAGAGAGTCGAGTTCAAAACCATCCCTATGGAAAATCACCCGTCAGATGGAGGTGCCTTGGGTCAATATTTCTCTCTCAGCCCACCTGACAGGGTCGTTGTGAGGATAAATGAAGAGAAATCCCACGGAAGCCACCTTGGGCTCTTGCAGAAAAGGCAGGATGTAACTCTTAACCGGGAAATAGAAAGCATGCAACCATCATCCTCAAGCCAAGCCTTCAAGACCCCCTCCCCAAACACCCCAATGCCCTGATTTCCCCCCAACCCCCCACCCTCCGCCATCTTTGAGAAACTTCCAGCTGCCCCAGTCGCTCACTTGCTTTGTTTCGGGGACCAGATCGTCCTTCATCCGTCGCTTGGTCCAGTCCTTGGCCAGCTCGTCCTCAGCTATTTCCTGCAAGTGGAAGACGGCGACTTGGGCGGAGGTGCGCCGGATGCGGCCGCTGGGAGTCCTCTCGAAATCTTCCACGGGGCTGGGTTCGGGTTGCAGCTCTGGCTGCTCTGGGGGCTGAGGAGAGAAAAGCGGTCTGTGATGAAGGCAGATGCTGGAAGGGAGGAAGAGAAGGGAAAGAGAGGAGGAAGGGAGGAAGGGAGGAAGGGAAAGAGGCAGGGAGAGAGGAGGAAGAAGAAGAGAGGGAGGGGAGAAGAGAAGGGGAGGAAGAGAAGGAAGGGAAGAAAAGGAACAGGAGAATGAAGAGGGGGAGGGAGAAGGCGAGGGGGAAGTTGAGAGGAGGGAAGGAAGGGAGGAAGGGGATGGCACAAAGAGGGAAATGGAGACACAGAAAAGGAGAAGGGAGAATGAATGAAAATGAATGAATGAAAAGGAAGGAAGGAAGGAAGGAAGGAAGGAAGGAAGGAAGGAAGGAAGGAAGGAAGGAAGGAAGGAAGGAAGGAAGGAAGGAAGGAAGGAAGGAAATGGAGACACAGATAAGGAAAAGGGAAAATGAAGAAGGGAGAAAGAGAAGGGAAGGAGGGAGGGAGGGAAGGAGGAAGGAAAAGAGGGATGGATGGATACAATGGAGACAAGAGAGGAGAAGGAAAAGGAGAAGGAAGGGAAGGGAGGAGAAGGAGAAGGAAGAGAAGCAGATGGAAGGGAAGGAGGGATAGGAAGGCAGATGGAGACAGAAAAGGTGAAGGAGAAGAAAAGGGAGGGAGGGAGGAAACAAATTAAGAAATGGTGGCAATTAAGGCCCTTCGGTTGCTTTTTTTACCACAGAACTTTCAAAGGAAAAGCGGGAACTTGTAGGCCTTGGTGAAGGGCAGGGTGGCCCAACCCCAGTGACTTCTAACTATGTGGCCTTCAATCCTCAGAAGTCTCAAGCCCACACATTGGTGGGTTTCCAGATTCAAAAAACTATCCTAACATCAATTGGCTCCCCCCAGCTAACTTTGAACCATCGTTGCAAACGAATAAGTTACGTTTGCTTGCAAGGCTCCGTGGCAAGGAAAGCAGGAAAGACTGCTAGAGACGGGTAAAAGCAAAAGCTGGTGTCTATGTGTGTGTGTGTGTGTGTGTGTGTGTGTGTGTGTGTGTGTATGAGAGAGAGAGAGAGAGAGAGAGAAAGAGAAAAGAAAGAAAGAAAGAAAGAAAGAAAGAAAGAAAGAAAGAAAGAAAGAAAGAAAGGAAGGATATGGAAGCTCTGCCTACTGATTGCTGCACAGTAATTCAGTCTGTTTATTATGGCCCAGCAAATGATGGAGAACACACAAACAAACAAACAAACAAACAAACAAACACACACACACACACGAACGCAAACACAACACTTGGAGTTCTTACTAAGAACTTATTAATTTTTACTAATGCTTACAAAGAAGCAAGGGTGGGATTCTACCGGTTTGCACCGGTTCAAGCGAACTGGATATTAAATTTGTATCTGGTTCGCCAAACCGGTATTTAAACTGACCGGCTGGCCCCGCCCTCCCAGGAGTCTCCACGTGGCCCATTTTCAATGCAGGTAAGTACAGGGCCCACACGGAGGCTCTGGGAGCGGGAAAACGGGCCCTACCGGAAGTACCGGAAGTCCCGAAACGGGCCTGTTTCCGGCTTCTGGAGGGCCTCTGGAGCCCGGGGGAGGCCGTTTTCACCTTCCCAGAGGCTAAAAAGAAGCCTCTGGACCCTTGGGAAGGCGAAAAACGGCTCTCCGAGACGTCCCACTAAGCCACACCCACTATGGCCACGCCCACAAGCAACTGGGCAGCGAACTGGTTGCTGGGATATTTGAATCCCACCCCTGCTAAGAAGTATTACTATGTAAATGAATTGACTCAGACAGTACACTGTTCATTAAGTACATATACTATATATAAAGAGAAAAACCAATACAAAATAAACAGTAACTTGGAGTTCCATACTAAATTGTACAGTACAGGTAGTCCTCCACTTACAACAATTTGTTTAGTGATCGTTCAAAATTACAATGGCACTGAAAAAAAAGTGACACAGCCACTTTTCACGCTTACAACTGCTGCGGCATCCCCAGGGTGGCTGCAAAATTCAGAGGCTTGACCACTGACTCATATTTATGATGGTTGCAGCATCCCGGGGCCACGAGATCCCCTTTTGCGACCTTCTGACAAGCAGAGTCAACGGGGAAGCCACTTAACGACCACGTTGCTAACTTTAACAAACTCTGTTGATTGACTCCACAACTGTGGCAAGAAAGGTCGTAAAATGGGGCAAAACTCCTACTTAACAAATGACTCGCTTAGCAACAGAAATTTGGGGCTAAAATTGGGGCCATAAGTCGAGGACTACCTGTATAGACATCCCACCAATGCTGCTGATGTGTTTGCGCAACGCACAAAAGGGCTGAATGGCAAACACGCCAATAGCATGGTTTGGATTCTATATTGAATAGAATAACAAAGTCGGAAGGGACCTTGGAGGTCTTCTAGTCCAACCCCCCTCCACCCTCCTGCCTAGGCAGGAAACCCTACTATACCACTCCAGGGAAACATTGTACAATTCAGAATTCTGATTCTGGGATACATGGATTCTTGCGCCTAACAACTGTGTGATTCACTTACTGACTATGGGATTCACTTAACAATGATGGCACAAGGGTCATAAAATCAGGTCGCATGATGTCTCACATAATGATCACTGCTTCACCACGAAATTTAAGGTCCCCATTGCAATCAGGTCGCATGGTGTCTCACATAACGACCACGCTGCTTCACCATGAAATTTAAGGTCCCCATTGCAATCATGTTGCATGGTGTCTCACACAACGACCACGCTGCTTCACCATGAAATTTAAAGTCCCCGTTGCGCTTGTAAGTCGAGGACTACCCATAACGCTTTTTGAATATAAACACCGTTGTTGTTGGCGATAAGGAAACAAGGCGGGAGGCTCAAGGGACTCACCGTGGCTGGATGCTCGGAGCGGACGTGGTAGTCGTGCCCAGCTTTTGACTTGTAGGCCTTCCCACAGTGGGGGCAGGTGAAGACCGGCTTCTCCAGCTCGGACGGCTGCTTCCCGCATCGCTTCTGGTGGTACTGGTACCCCATAAGACTGGAGAAGGTGGCCACACAGCCCTGAAGAAAAAAAATTAACAAGTGGCTGCGGGTCAGAGGTCAGCAAGGATGTTTAAGGTAATGGGCCAACCCTTGAAAACAACCTAACAGTGTAAAAAGATAATAAGACATAAAAAAAAAGAAATAAGAACATAAAATAGTGGTTATTTGCTACAACTGCAAAACCTCCCTCCTTTCTAGCCCTGATGATGTTACCTAGTTGGGTAATGAAACATCTGAAAGAAAACAAGCAAGGTCAGAGAGCACCAAGGATGATGATTATTCTTCTTCTTCTTCTTCTTCTTCTTCTTCTTCTTCTTCTTCTTCTTCTTCTTCTTCTTCTTCTTCTTCTTCTTCTTCTTCTTCTTCTTCTTCTTCTTCT